TCCTTCCACTTTTCCTTCTTTTTTGCTCTTGAATGAAAACTTCAGCAGGGCCCATCACTCTTCTGCTCACTTTTAGGTAACCAATATTCCTTTTATTACATTCGGTCCTAAGAAGAGTCATTTCAGTCATTATAGTTTGCAGTTCAGTAAGTATATAATACCTAACTCCTTAATTAGGAGATTTAGCTCTTCTTGATCAGTGGCAAGGTGGGAAGGTGGGAGAAATGAGAGTATAAAGGCTAGGGGGCACGGGACAGAGAGAGGAGTCAGCAGCAGGGATCCAGGTGAGGAGAGGTTTGAGAGGTAAGGGAGACAAGCTTGTTTGTCAGTTTGTCCTACTGCGGTGACATGTTGCTGTGAGTCTTCAGGCTGTGCCACTGGTGTTTCAAACCCAGCGGGGTGCACATGGTGCACAGGTATCAGCCCAGCTTGCAGACTGAGACAGACTAGGAGGAAGGAAGAGGCCATCCACTTCTCAAAGAATTGTCCAGGGAAAACCTTATGAATAGCAGAGAAACACTGTCTGATATATTATGGCACAACTTTATGAATAGTCCAGAAACATTGTCTACTACAGAGGAGGAGGATGAGTCACTTAGGTTAGAAGACTCTCAAAATAGAACTGGGAAAAAGCTGCATTATCAGAGCAAAAACAGCCTTACTCATATGGATAAGGTAAAACTTTCAAGACCTCCATTTGCTGACATGGCACCACTCAAACTGAGGAGAAACAGCTGCAACATTCATTAATAATCAGAACATGGAATGTGCAAAGTATGAATCTAGGAAAATTGGAAGTTGTGAAAAGTGAAATGGAATGCATAAAGATGGATATCCTAAGCATTAGTGAGCTGAAATGGACTGTTTTGGCCACTTTGAATCAGACAACCATATGGTCTACTACGCTGGGAATGACAGTTTGAAGAGGAATGGTGTGGCATTCATCATCACAAAGGATGTTTCAAGATCTGTCTTGAAGTAAAATGCTGTCAGTGATAGGATAATATCCATATGCCTACAAACAAGACCCATTACTACAACTATTTTTCAAATTGATATACCAACTACCAAAGCCAAGGATGAGGAAATTGAAGATTTTTATCAACTTCTACAGTCTGAAATTGACAGAACATGCAATCAGGATTTGTTAATTATCACTGCTGACTGGAATGCAAAAATTGGAAACAGAAAAATCACCCATAGTTGGAAAAGTTGGCCACAGTGACAGAAATAATGCTGGAAATCACATGGTAGAATTTTGCAAAAACAATTACTTTTTCATTGCAAATACCTTTTTGAACAACACAAATGGTGGCTGTACACATGGACTTCACCAGATGAAGCACACAGGAATCAGATTGACTACATCTGTGGCAAGAGGTGACGGAAAAGCTCAGTATCTTCAGCCAAAACCAGGCCAGGAGCTGACTGTGGAACAGACCATCAACTGCTCATATGCAAGTTAAATTTGAAGTTGAAGACAGTTAAAACAAGTCCACATGAGCCAAAATATGATCTTGAATATCTCCCTCCTGAATTTAGAGACCATCTAAAGAATAGATTTGATGCATTGAACACCAGTGACCAAAAATCAGAAGAATTGTGGGAAGACATCAAAAACATCATCCATGAAGAAAGCAAGAGGTCACTAAAAAGATGAGAAACGAAGAGAAGACCAAAATGGATGACAGAAGAGACTCTGAAACTTGCCCTTCAGCAGAAAGAAGCTAAAGCAAATGGAAGAAATGACAAGATCAAAGAGCTGAACTGAAGAATTCAAAGAGTAGCTCGACCCGACAAAGCCAATTACTGTAATGAAATGTGCAAAGACCTGGAGTTAGAAAACCAAAAGGGAAGAACACACTTGGCATTTCTCAAACTGAAAGAATTAAGGAAAAAAATTAAGCCTTGAGTTGCAATATTGAAAGATTCTGTGGGCAAAATATTGAATGATGCAGGACACATCAAAAGAAGATGGAAGGAATACACAGAGTCACTGTACCAAAAAGAACTGGTCAATCTTCATCCAT